AAAAAAAAAAAAGAGTGGAGACAGTATGTATTACTGATTCAAAATTGTAACCAGATGCTCAGAGTAAGTAATTGTATTTGTCGTTTCAAAAACCAACCTCAGGATTATTAAAAGTTAGTTTTATTGGATTTCTTTTAAGCTGTGCTGAGTCACTCAGGTCTGTCACTTCCAGGCCCATATTTTACTACATTGTAACCCTATTGGGAAGGAAAACTGCAACTAAGATTATGATCCATCCTGAGATGAAAAGTTTCACACATATACACCACGCATACCCCCCACCACAGTCTAACGACACAGTGACCCAACCTTAGGCAAAAGGGTACCACTGCCAGCAAATGCATTTTTGTCTTTATTTCTTCTAATTTTTTTCCTTTATTTCTCTAAAAGCAGCAAATTCATTTAACATTTTATTGAGATTCTCAACTGCTGCCATTTGGTTTGTATAGAAAATTGTTTACAAAGTAATTTTTTTCCATTTTTGATATTTTAATGAAAATTATGTTCTTCAGTTTTAAAGCCCTGTCCTCTCTCAAAGAAAGATTAATTACAAACTACCAGGTAATGATTATTTAGGAAAATAACAAAAGCAAAAACAGCTTTTAAACACTTGTGAAACAAGGGTAAGGGTCCAAAGTCAAGACCTTCTGTGCTCAATGGAGGTGCTAGGCTGCCTGGGGACACCATCAGCACTTCACCACCCACAACATCCTCAACAGCTGGGAGCCATGCACGGACCTGGGAGACTTCCTGTTCCACAAGCTCCACTCTCTTTTGCCCCTCTACCCTTGCTGTTGAGCCTCCCCTCCAAATCTGCCTAACAAAGGCAGCGGAATCTTTAATACTGTTCAGCTTTGTCCATGGAGACAGGATACTCTAGAAAGTTGAGAGGCTCCCTGGTCCAGCCTGGGGGAGGAAAAAATATACAACATAGCATGGATGGGTTCACTTTCTAGTCCACTCAGACACATGCTAATACTTATTAAATGGATGTATCAGATGCTTCAAAAGTCCATACCTGTAGTAGTACAAAAGTTGCTTGTGAAAAAGAAGCTGCAAAATGATAAAAATGTCTGCAGCAGTTCAGGCTCGTGATGACAAAGCTGGTTCTGATAAGCAGTTATTGTGACAAGCACAGCAGCTTCCCGTGTAAGTCCTGTGTTCAAAGGGTTTCATTGAGACCACAGGAAGCTGGAATCCAGATTTAAAAGGCTCTCTGCTGACAAAATGTGGTATATCCATCAATGGACTTCTACTCAGTAATGAAAGCAACAAACTACCAAAACATTTCATATGTCATGGACCAACCTCAAAAACATTAGCTAAGTAGAAAAGCCAGACACGAGACTGCATATTGTTTAATTCCATTGATTTGAAATGTCCACGAGAGGCAAATTTATAGAGACAGAAATGGGCTGATTTGCCTCAAGAGGCAGGGATTCAAGCTCTCTAGACTACATGTGATACATACATGAGAAAAAATAAGGAAAAGAAAAGAAATCAAAACATAAATAAATGAAAATAATACTTCTCCTGGATTATAAAGAAAATCACATTCTTTTTGTAATAATTTGGAAGACAAAATATAAAGAAAAATCTTTAATTTTGACACTCAAAACATTCTGGTTTGTTGCTTTTTATACTTCTTATGCATATAAACATTTTAAAAAGTAGAATCATAATATATAGTCTTTTGTCACTTACTATGTTTTGGTCATATTTCTATGGCAGTAAATATATCCTTGGCATCATCATTATAATAGTTGGATGTATATTAAGTTAATCATTGCCTCCCCAGAGGTAAATTTTCTTATATGTACATTTTAATTGACTCAAGCAAGCATTTCTGGACTGAATTTATAGAAGTAGAATTTCTGGAGGAAAATAACATAAAACAATTTTAGGGTTTTTAATAGAAATTTTCAAATTATCCTGCAGGAAAATTGGTTCAGTTTCTACTCCCACCAACAGGGACAGAGCTCCAGTTTCCCCCTTCCATTTGTCCTCCTTGCTGGTCTTTAATCAGAAAATCTCATTGTTTTTGTTACATTTCTTTGGTTTCTAGTGCTTTTGAACCTTTTTAATATGTTTATTGGCCATTTTTATTGTTGTGGGAAGCACCTGTTTCTCTATTGCCTATTTTCTGACCAAGCTCTCAAGTCACATTTCACTTAATTTTTATCCTGCTGATTGAAAATATTTTAACTTAGCGATTTTAATGTAAACTGGAGCAGGGCAGACTGTAATCATCTAGGTCTTGCTCTGTCACCCAGGCTGGAGTGCATGATCATAGCTACCGCAGTCTGGAACTCCTGAGCTCAAGTGATTTTCCTACCTCAGCCTTCCAAGTAGCTAGGACTACAGTGCGTGCCACCATGCCCAGCTAATTTTTAATTTTTTTTGTAGAGATGTGAATTCGCTATGCTGCCCAAGCTGATCTTGAACTGCTGACTTCAAGTAATCCTCCCACCTTCGCTTGCCAAAGTACTGGGATTACAGGCATGAACTACTGCTCCCAGCTGAGAGCTCACTTTTATTTGCTAGTGGTGTTCTTAGTATCTTTTCATATTTGAGGCTTCGGTGCTAGTGCTGAAGTATTACACTCACCATCCAAGGTTTACAGGACTTTTGTTTTAATATGGAACCGATGGAACTGTTTAGTTCTGCATCTTTGCAGGTATACAAAATGTGCCTGCCAGGACTCTGCTTTATATCCATTGAAAGCAAGAAGTAATACAGTAAAAGTTTGTCTGGCTAGAGGCTTTGAAAGAATGGACTATTCTGGTTTAATTCTGTTAACTTGGAAGTATGAAGGTGAAAAAAATTCAAAACTTAAATTTCCTGTTGAATGCAATTTGAAAATATAGCCAATGATTTCACTTTTCTTTTCTGGTAAGTTTGGACATTCTGATCTACTTGGTGTTTTATTACAGAATTCCTAGCGTGCCTGAAGATCCTTTTCTAAAACTTTAGATGTAAGATAATGTAAATGGTATTGTATTAAGGGAGGACACCACCCCTCATATCGTCTTATGCCCAATTTCTGCCTCCAAAGAAAGAAGTAAAAACTAAAAGGCAGAAATGAAATCCACAGGCAGACATCCTGGCACCGCTCCCTGGGCCTGGTAGTTTAAGATGGACCCCTGACCTAATTGGTTCTGTTATCTGTAGATTACAGACATTGTATAGAAATGCACTGTGAAAATCCCTATCTTGTTTTTTTCCAGTCTAATTACCGGTGCATTCAGCCCCCAGTCACGTACCCCCTGCTTGCTCAATCGATCACAAACCTCTCACATGCACCCCTTTAGAGTTGTGAGCCCTTAAAAGGGACAGGAATTGCTTACTTGGGGACTTGGCTCTTGAGACAGGAGTCTTGCTGATGTCCCCGGCCAAATAAACCCCTTCCTTCTTTAACTCAGTGAGGAGTTTTGTCTGCAACTCGTCCTGCTACAGTATGAGATGAGGCTGGATGAGAACTGATACTTGTAAATATACTTTTTAGACTAAATCTCTGATTGTCACTTGTTTTCTTATTTAACTTATAAAAATAAAACACATTGGGTGGAGGGTGGGAGTAGGAAGGAGATTTATGTCTTCTAATTGCATGTCAATGTTTCATATCAAGACAGAACATACAGTACCCCTGGCTTTGGACCTACAGAAGGAAACACATTTTGCTATCTGCTGTATGCCAGAGATCCTAAACACCTGGAGGGATTACTGCAGCACAGATTGCTGAGCGCTACTCCGGAGTTTCTGATTCATCAGGTCCAGGGTGGGGCCTGAGAATTTGCACTTATAAAAAGTTCTCAGGTGCTGCTGGTGCTGCTAATCCAGAGACTACACCTTTGAGTGCCACTCTTGTCTACTAACTGTAAATTGTAGAACTCCAGAAAACATCTTAGTTTGGTCTGGGATAAGAAGCACACAGGTTATGGAGCAAATGATGAAAGATTCAACCCTTGATCCCAGCCTACTCTGGAATTCAGGTAACAAGCAATACACTGTGACATAACACAATTCTTGGTTTTCATGATTCCAAATAATAGCCAAGTATCAAGTGAGAAATTCAGTATCATTTGCAAGGCTTAGAGAGGCCAGGTGATTCTCGAAAAATGGGCCTTGTATTTGTTTTAAACCGGTAAAGAACTTTGAGTGCTTATTAAATTGAAACCTTTGTGTTTTTATTTTATTTTATTTTATTTTATTTTATTTTTTGAGATGGAGTCTTGCTCTGTCACCCATACTGGAGTTCAGCGGCATGATCTTGGCTCACTGCAACCTCCGCCTCCCAGGTTCAAGTAATTCTCCTGCCTCAGCCTGCTGAGTGACTGGGATTACAGGCACCCACCACCACGCCTGGCTAGTTTTTGTATTTTTAGTAGAGACAGGGTTTCACCATGTTGGCCAGGCTGGTCCTGAACTCCTGACCTCAGGTGATCCACCCACCTTGGCCTCCCAAAGTGCTGGGATTACAGGTGTGAGCCACTGCACCAGACCCAAAAGCTTTGTGTTTTTAAAGATATTAGATATGTTTCTTGTTTAAAAAAAAAAATCTTAACAATAATGTAGGAAAATAAGAGAAATATTTGTCCAAAAAAGGGAAATCATAGTGATTATTTTATCTTATTGGAATATTGAATAATATAGTCTGCTTCATTAATCATCAAGCATGCTATGGATTTTTCATTTTTATAGGATTTGTATCTCAATTGAGCTAATACTGGTAATTCTTGTACTCTGTTTGAAGGTGAAAAATATAGGCCAAACTCATAGACCTTGCGTAGAAGCTGGATAATAAAGACAGCTCTGGAGGACCACATACACACACACAGACACACATATATATAAAGCATACACACATATATTTTTTAAAGTTTTAAAGCTTTTAAAGCAAAAGCTGGCCCCTGCCCTCTCCCAGAGTGGGTGGGGACAGCGGTTTCATGGTCAGCTTTCCTTGTGATACCACAGGTCCCTCTGGACATGCTGCTGCCTGGCCACGCCTTCTTTTGCTTTCATCTTTCTCATTGACCAATGGGCTTGGATCATTAAGGCCACACCCCTATTCTGCATTCTAGTGGGGCCCTGGTTACGCCTCCTCTGGCTCAGTCACACAGCTGCCTGGTAGGTGACTGGAGGTATTTGGCAGTCATTGCTGGGATTTTGCTGATATGGCACCAACCCTGCCTGCCTTCCCACCTCATGATGGCTGAAGAAACTCAACAGAGCAAATTGGCTGCAGCCAAGAAAAAGGTGAAACACACCAGGTCGTGGTCCCCCAACCCAGCCACAAATCCCCTCCAATGGCAAGACCGCTACCAGAGTCCGTACCACTCCTGAGGCACACCAGGCTGGGCCCCCCAACCCTGGCACCTCTGGGTTCCCCCCACCAAAGTCTTGTCAGTCAGACCTGCCCCTTCAGCAAGCAGCCCAAGCCCTGCCCTTGCCAGTCACCACAGGATGACTTTGGGTGGGTGACTCCTGGGGCCCCCCAGTCCATATTCGGCCCTTACCTCCCACTGCCCAAAGTCCAACCTCCCTAGGTTCTTTGGGCTGATGTCTCCAAGGACCTGGGTCCCCCAGCCAAAGCCCCTGCCCTCGCCAGTCACCCTGGGTGACTTTGGGCTGGTGACATCTGGGGCTCCCTGCTGCAGTCTCTGCCTCTCATCCTGCTGCCCCAATCCTGACCTCCCTAGGCTCTTTGGGCTGGTGTCTCCAAGTACCTGGTTCCTAGCCCTGTGTCCTCCTCCCCGACTGTGAATCAGTGACTCAGGCATTGTGCTGATGTGGCTCCCCCCTCCCCAGGAGGAGTGGAATGTAGTGATGTCACTGTCCCCTTAGGAACTGTCGTTACTGCTCCAAGACTGGCCTTTGATCTTACAACCTAGTCCCCTAAGTGTTCTCACCCCATTTCTGGCTCCTCTGCTAGAAGCATAAATTTCCAGCCAGAAGGGGAATGGGGACTATGGGACATGGGAGTGAGAGTTTTCAGGCTGCCTTAATCCCTTAACATAGACATTGACAGTGTGAAAAGCCTGCACTTCCCCCATGAGCTCAAAACATTAACAGTATCTCTGGGTGGCAATGGGAGAATGGGTCTGGTTTGGTTTTCTCCCAGACTTCTACTCTCCAGAGATACTTTAACATTTTTTTCTGAGTTTTTCACCTCATATTCTAATTCTCCATGGTTCTGGGACCAGACTGCCCTTCAGTCAGTGGTCTCCGGAGTGAGAGCTGCTCATCTTCTGTGGAATAGATCTTGAGAAACTGAACTTGACAGCTTGAATTTTCCTCATATCATCTCAACCTGGGGTACTTTGAGTGCCACAGGATAAATGTGAGACGTCTTTCTGAAGCATCAGTTTCCCTTGATTCTCTTGAAAGAGAAAAAACATTAATGTACTTAGGGATGACAGTCAGATAGGTTTCTAAGAACCTCTCTGAAATGAGACCTCTCTGAAATGAGGCTTAAGTTGTTCTCTTTCTGATAAATTCCCAGCTTTAAGAGAAAGGCTGCTTTCTGCCATGAGGACACATTGATATAAAAGTTTGAGAGGTACTGGTGCACTTCTTAACACTAACAGATGTGTGAGGATGTATGACTCCAAACCACAGAGTGTACAGTTCCTGCCTCCTTAATGTTTACTGTTCTACCTCTCCCTCTGGTTTTGATCCCTGGCAGCTGCTGATTCGTGGCAAAACCCCAGAGCTTGGAGTCAGAAGACTGAGTTTAAGGTCCAGTATTGCCTTTTATTTTTTAAGCCATGATCTCAGTCCCTCTCAGTCACTAAGTGATTGCGACAACGCTTTGTGCGGTTGTTGGTGGCATTAAATCAGATGGTGTATAAAAGTATTTTGTAAAAACTGGAAAGGAGGATATGACTGTAAGGCTTTGTTGTTCTCATGCGTATTACTGCTCTTCTTTCCCACAGTTAAAAGAGTATCAGCAGAGGAACAGCCCTGGTGTTCCAGCAGGAGTGAAGAGAAAAAAGAAAAACACAGCAGTAACCCTGAGACAACCACTTCTGGTGCTTTCCACTCACCTGGAGATGTGAGTCTTGGCTGGTCAGGCTCCTGGGCACAGGGGGCCCAAGGGGCAGTAGAGGGTAGTTGTTAAGATTGTGGAAGAAGTGCCAGGTACTGCTTAAGAATTCTGGGCTTGAAACCTGCTTCTCCATATGCTAGGGATATGATTTAGGGCAAGTCGTTTGAGCTTTCTGGGCCTCTCTTTTCACATCTGTAAAATAGAAGTGGTGTTGCTTGACTTCCATTTGTGAAGTTTAAGTGTGATTTGTTATTGCTGTTGTTTTTATGTTAATCCCTGAACATGGCCTGCTGTAAACACCCAGAACACCCAGTAAAAGGTCGTTGCTGTTTGATTTTCCTCATCCCCAGTCTCAAAGGGAAGCCAGGCCAATGAGAACAGCCACTTGCCATCAGGCTGTCCCTTTAGAAGTCACTGAAAGGGCCCCAGGGTGTGGTGAGGAGAGCCCCAGGCACTAGAATTAAGAGAAGATCTAACTTGCCACTAGCTTGCTTGGTGACCACAGAAAAATCACTTTGTCCCGTGGGCCTCAGTTTCCTCCTCTGTAAGATGATACTGGATAAGATCAGTGTCTTTAAAACTTGTTTTTTAGCTGAAGCCCCCTTTGTTCAAGTTAACCCTTACTCAGAAGTCTGGTTTTTTAAATGGAGGTTGAGGTCTGGAGCTCTACTAGATTCATCACCCACATCCTGGGCCTGAGGAAAGGGCTCCACTGAGTGTATTAAGAGCTACATTGGTCAGATGACTCCATTCTGTGACTGCGTTTCTCAGGAGACTTTTCCATCTATTTGTTCCTGCCCCTGGCAAGACAGCAGGTGGCCGTTTGGAAGAATGGTTTTGATCTCTGCTCTTCTTCAACATTTCATTTCCCTGGACCCACATCTTCCTCCTTTCCTGACTTTCTTGCTTCTCTCTAAGCCACTTCTATCTTTCTCTCCCTGCCTTTGTTTTTACCTTTTCACCTCATTCAGGACATTTTGATTCAGGACATTTTGAAGGTGCTGGTGTCCACCTTTAACCATTCCAATGGGGTAGTGCTCTCCCACTGGACAAGTGGAAGGTGAAGCTGTGCCGAGACCCCTCTGGCTTGCTCTCTGCAGTTGTGCGTGCCCCTGAGGTTTCTCTGGTTTGTGGGATACTTTGTCTCTGGCTTATTTTATGTTGCTGCCATTAACCTTCAGCTTGTTTGTGTCTTGTTCTTCACCTGCTTGATTGATTGGGTGTTTTCCTTCCCTGCATATTTTATCATCTTGGAGAAAGTGAGACATACCTTAAAGTTTAAAAGTAATTTGGGAATAACATACTGAGCAGGCATGTGGGATTTGGGGCTTTTTTTTTTTTTTTTTTTTTTTGAGACTGAGTCTCGCTCTTGTCACTCAGACTGGAGTGCAGTGGCACAATCTCAGCTTACTGCAACCTCTGCCTCCCGGGTTGAAGCGATTCTCTTGCCTTAGCCTCCGGAGTAGCTGGGATTACAGGCACCTGCCACCACGCCCAGCTAATCTTTGTATTTTTAGTAGAGACAGGGTTTCACCATGTTGGCCAGGCTGGTCTTGAACTGCTGACCTCAAGTGATCCACCCACCTCCACCTCCCAAAGTGCTGGGATTACAGGCATGAGCCATCGTGCCTGGCCTGGGACTTGGGATTTTGAATGCCCAGTTTGGTACTCTTAGACTAGGAATGATGGAAAAAAAAAAAAAAAAAAACCCAAGTGACCTTTAGGTTTTGCCCTAAAGGCAAAGATCTATAGACCACATAAAAGCTTGTGATTATTTTGAATTAATTCACTTTGGTTTAAGAGTAGGGAACATAGGGTTAAGAGAAAGTGAGTTCACATTATAGTTGGAAGGACTGAAGCTTTTTTTCAGAGAAACTAACTGTAAAAGATGTGAGGTTAACCAATCAGATGAGCGACCAAGGCCCTAATCTCTTAAAAATCAAACGGACACTTAGCCATATAATTTAACAACAAAGGCACTTTGCTAAATAAACAGTGGAGAGAATAGTTGAACAAGGGAGGGTGCAGACTGAGGGAGTCAGACTCCTCTGAAGGAGGCAAGAGAGAAGTTTGGAACATTCCAAATGCTCAGCTTATGGGGAGGTTGGTTCCGAATGGACTCGAAGGTGGAGGAGGTGACATTTGAGGTTGGCTGGAAGATTAAAGATGGGTAACATTCATCCATATGGGGAGTGGGGGAGGCAGGGGAAGCAGTGAGCTCATGGCCACCATTATGAACTCATAGAGCATCTTTCAGGTGCACAAGGAGCCTGGTGGGAGTCAGGGCACGGGGATACATGGGGCTTGGAGACAACCTCCTCTGGCTGTGATTTGGCATTTCCTCCGTATCTAACTTGCCTAGGGGACTCCTGCAAAGCCAGAGGAACAGGGCATGAATGAAGGCAGATCCTGCTGGAGATGGGCATGGGAAGGGGGCCTGACAGAGCACCCTTGGCTGCTGTTAGAGAGTTGTTCAGCCATCACACCCGTTACCCCCAGTCGGTCAGATCTGTCCAGGTGCTGTGGCCCACCTTGCCGGCTCAGAAGAGACACTGAATTTTACGGTGGGGAGCAAAGGCCTAGAGGTGTCCTGCAGTTGAGTATGTGGCTTATGCTCTTCCAATGGTCCAGTAGTTTGGGGGTGTGCGGCCTGTTTCCTCATGCTCTGAGATTCTGTGCCCAGCCCAGGTCTCTCTGTTCTGGAAACAAAGGCCCAGATCCCTATATTTCCTTCTTGGTGTTTGTTTTCCCTCAAGGGGGCTCCCATCTTCGTATTCAACGAGGCAGATGAGGAGGGATAGTGGGGCTAACTGTGGACCAAGAGAGGGCACGGGCTGCTGGGGTGGGGGCCCTTCCCCATGTACATATATTATCTGTGTAACATTTGTATATTCCGGGGGGTAGGGCCACGCCCTGTATCATGCCTAGCAGAGGTTGGAGCTGACATTTGGGGAGGAGGTTCTAATAATTATTTGCGGCTGGGAAACTTATTTATTGAGAGGATGGGACAGAGGAAGGAGGCGGGGATGCGGTCGTGGCTCCCTGGTGATGTGACTCCTGTTTATTTTGCTTTTTATTTTGGAATAAACGGATTTAGCCATACTCCTCGGCCTGGTGTGTTCCCGTTTCCCTCACTGGGTCCTGGAGTTTGTGCCACTGAACGAGGAGCCCCAGAGTGTCTTGAGCTTGTCCAGCTGGGCTGTTGGGGACCTTCCCAGCCTGTTACCTGTATGCTGCCCGGTGACACCTGGGGGATTCCGTGGGGTTTGCCATGGCGCCTATGGGGCACAGTCCGGCCCTGACAGCCAACAGGCTCAGAAGCCTGATCTAGCGGTGGCCGTGAAGGCAGGAACCGGCACCCAAAGGCACCGACTTCCATCCTCCCCAGCCGTCTTCCCTTCTGTCCCCCTGCCTCCCTCTCCTGTCTGCACCTGGTGGCCTGTTCTGTCTGTCCCTCCAGAGCGCTGGCTGCTCTGTAGGCTCCCTCCAGGCTGAGTTCATGGCCCTGCCCCCCAGTGGCCAGAGCCGGCTTCACAGGATAAGAGCCAGCTTCAGAGCCAGTACCAAGCACTAGCAGTAGGCCTGGACTTGAGCTCCACAAAAATCAGTCAACTCAATGAAAACACCAATGCATTGGTAAGAGTCCAGTGGGCTCCCCTGATTCTACATTGCCAATCCGGGGCCTCAGTTTCCCCTTGGGACCCTGAAGAAAGGGGCTGGGGGCCCCTGGTGCCAAGGGCAAATGGGGATGGCTTTCTCTTGTTGGGTCATAAGATTCCACAAGGACAGCATGGTGACTGATTCCCAGAGCTAGAGGCGAGACGGTCGGTCCTGTGTAGGTGTGTATGTGTGTGTGTGTGTATATATACACACACATACATATTTATACACATACATCATAAACACACACACCTACATATGTGTGTGTGTGTATATATATATACAGTATGTGTGTGTGTGTATATATATATACAGTGTGTGTGTGTGTATATACAGTATGTGTGTGTATATATAGTATGTGTGTGTATATATAGTGTGTGTATATATATACAGTGTGTGTATATATACAGTGTGTGTATATATATACAGTGTGTGTGTATATATATACAGTATGTGTGTGTATATATACAGTATGTGTGTGTATATATATACAGTATGTGTGTGTATATATACAGTATGTGTGTGTATATATATACAGTATGTGTGTATATATACAGTATGTGTGTGTATATATATACAGTGTGTGTGTATATATACAGTATGTGTGTATATATATACAGCGTGTGTGTATATATATACAGTATGTGTGTGTATATATACAGTATGTGTATGTGTGTGTATATATATATACTGTGTGTGTGTATATATATATACACAGTGTGTGTTTGTGTGTGTGTATATATATACAGTATGTGTGTGTATATATATACAGTATATGTGTGTGTGTATATATGTACACAGTATGTGTGTGTGTGTGTATATATATATACAGTATGTGTGTGTATATATATACACACAGTATGTGTTTGTGTGTGTATATATATATACAGTATGTGTGTGTGTATATATATACACACAGTATGTGTTTGTGTATGTGTATATATATATACACTATGTGTGTGTGTATATATATACAGTATGTGTTTGTGTGTATATATATACAGTATATGTGTGTGTGTATATAGATATACAGTATGTGTGTGTATATATATACAGTATGTGTATATATATACAGTATGTGTTTGTGTGTGTGTATATATACAGTGTGTGTGTATATATATACAGTATGTGTGTATATATATACAGTATACATGTGTGTATATATATATACAGTATGTGTGTGTATATATATACAGTATGTGTGTGTATATACACTATGTGTTTGTGTGTGTGTGTATATATATATACAGTGTGTGTATATATATAGTGTGTGTGTATATATATACAGTATGTCTGTGTATACATATATACAGTATGTGTGTGTATATATATACAGTATGTGTGTG